ACCGATCATTGCTGCTTAATAGAAAACACATGACTGGTGCATACGAGATTTAAAACCTTGGCATACTGCAAAATACAGAGAGATTTAAATGGAGCTGATATACTCATGCAAACGCCTGCACTCTACCTTTAACCCTGGTTATAAGACCAGAATACAAACATTACTGAGGGACCCTAACTCTCATTTAAAGCATCCTGCCGTATGATTTACACTCATCTTTAACTGGAACAAATGGGCCATCATCTACAAATCCAGCTCAACTTGCATCAGTATATTAATACCGATCATTTATACAATACCAGTGTGACTTTATGATAATCTAGACTTTAATGTATCACTGCCTGTAACAGCAGTTTGTTTTGAATTAGTTTTACATGTGTTTTTGAATGCCTTTATATGAAAACACACAAAAAGCTGAAAGTAAATGCATCCATCAGCATTAACATCACAAAGCTCTTTACATTTCATAATAAAACAGAGACGCTATTCTTCATTTTATGTATTTCTCGGTGCTAAAGTACCTTGTAGAGTGATGGCCTGAGGCTAATTTAGCTGCTTGTCACAGCGCTGAGCGCACGGCTATCCAAGGGTTAACAGTTTAATAATGCAATTGTGCCTGGGTTAAGTGTAGTGTGAAAAGAGGTAATAATCATTTTAGAGTTGACTAAGATTAAAGTTTGGCTTGCAGCCATTCTTACCCTGTGTTGGTTGTTAAAGAAGCTAATTAAACCCACATGAAAGCCCCTCCTCAGGAGCAAGAAAGATTAAACGCCCTCAGGTGGGTTCTCTCTCTCCGACTGCCGCGCAACAAAACTGGCATAACGATTAGACGGCATGCACGGTTTGCAATATGTAAAAAATGGTTCTGCTGGGTGTGTTTTCAGACGGAGTATTAATTATAATAAAGACCCCGGTGATGGAAATAACATTATGACATGCGATACTGATATTAGGTCAGAGAAGCTGTGTTTACTGCGTCACCTGTGCAACGTGGCTTATGTTGCGATTAAAGCATTTTCAGCTTAGATGCTTATTGATTCATCAGATGTACTTGCTGCACTTGTCGTTAAAGCTATTATCTGCTGTCTTACATAATTACATTGGAGGGGGGAGACGCTCCTCTGTGTGTGTGTGTGTGCATCAGATAATCGTTAGTAAATGAATTGAGGATCCACTTAGAATGTGTTTAACCTATTTTCTAATGAAGCGCCCTTGTGTGGTCGTCATTTCACGTGTTTGTGGAGTATATGCTGCTTTGTTGTGTGCAGTCTAAATGAAATGTGAAGTGAAGCAAGTGCACAGCTGTGTCTTCAGGCTCCTGCTCTTTGACACATGCATTAGGACACACACACACACACACACACACACACACACACACACACACACGCTACAGCAGCTTCCTCTTTTGCCTGGCTGGAATTTGTAAGCCCTGAGCTTCAGCCAAGCTCCTGTTGCTGAGGGGGAACCAGCTGCACACTCATCCAATCCTCCTGCCAGTGCTGCTGCCGCTGATGGAACAGCCCAGTGCATCCCCGTCCACCCCTTCCACAGGAGCGCGCTTGGTACGACCCGTTGGTGCTTCTCTAGCTGGTTTGTCACTGACTCAGTAGTATCACAGCAGTCAGCCAAACGGCAGCCTGAGCACACATATACACACACACACACATCATCTACACACACACACACCATCATCATCAACAACACAGCACGCAGAGAGTGAGGACGTAAGAGGAGAGAGTTACCAGAGAGAAGAAAAGGAAATCCTCAGCTTCCACTCTTCTGGTTGTTTTGCATCCCTGATATGACCCTGTTCAGTCCAAGATGTGAGTATATCGGAGTGCATCCCTGTAATTGTGTGTGTGTGTGTGTGTGTGTGTGTGTGTTAGTGGATGTTTGCATGCAGCACAATGTTTCTCAAAGACAGTATTTTCCACTGTGCCTCTCTGTGCTCTCCCCCTGCCATTTTTTTTTCCTCTCTCTCTCTCTCTCTCTCTCTCATTTCTGCACTTCATCCTGAAGCTCAGGTTCTTTCTTCCTCGTTTTTTGTGCCTCTTAGCTGTTTCCGTTCACCTACACATCGATCCAAACAGATGGTGGTTTGGAAGCGGCACTGAGGAAATATGGGGGAAGCTAGACTTTATGGTGTAAACATTGTGATGCATTAAGAGGTGCTTCAGATAAGTACACACCAAAAACTGTGAGCTACCGGATCAGAGATAAAAACTTGTTTCCCCACACTGGCAAGGTCAGCAGCTGCTCTCTGGACGTAGAGGCTTGTGAGTCAGAAATGGCTGGAGGCTTAGTTGTGTTGTACTTCCAATCCGGGATGATGAATTGCGCATACATTTTTTGTTTTCGCCATTGAATGAACAGCGCTTTCATGAACAATACTTGACAGCAGCACTTTCCCAGGTATGCAGGCAGAGCAGCTACATCCACTCACAACTTCCAGCCTACTTCAGAAACCACAATCTGCTCACAAAGCTGCATGTCTGCAGGGAAAGGAAAGGCTTCACACGAGTGCAGTGCAGGCTGACAAACTTCACAGTGGAAGAAGAACTCGCCTTAGTCTGGCTGTGATTTTGGATGATGTGGGATGTTTTCAGGATCTGTAGCTGAAGTGGCAGCACCGCTCTGCTGTAAGAGCTTTCACATGCCGACTGTTTCACTGCTGTGTTGTGCAGATTCGGGCTCTTTCATGTTGGCGCAGCCCAGCATCTTTCTCAACATGCCACATATTCATGACAGCCATACGTGATAATCCACGTTGTAGCCCGTGTTGACAGTGACGCCTGTGGTTAGACTGCGTTTAGTGCTGAGAGTGGAAACTACGGCTTCATGGTTGCTGCTTGGCTCAGAGCCTGACCTGAGGTCAGCTGCAGTGTGGAGGACGTTCCAAATCACTGGAAGCCAGAATTTACTTTAAAAACCAGAGGAAGCAGGTAAAAGAAACTCAATATGTATAATGAAAAGCTGTTTGAATTTAGCCTTAAGTGTTTGAAAAAAGTTGATTCAGCTTGAAAAATGACGTTGACTTTTTGGTGTCATGTGAAACACAAACACAAACCTCCTGGATGAAAATCTTGTGTTTACCTTTTCTCCACCATGAGCTCCTCCTAACGTTGGCTTTGTTGCCTTTTATTCTACCTTAACTGATTTCCTGAAGCCTTTTAGCTACAAAACCCTGAAGACAAACTTCTCTTACTGCATATTGAATTAGGGGGAAAATGTAGTTAATCAGAAATTAAATTGAACTATTTAGAATTGATGTCCTATCATTTATTTATTCTTGTGATTGTCGTTACAAGTGACTAAATGATGCTCTTTTGCAACCCTCTGGAGATAAAACAATCATTTTAAGCCATTGAACCTAAACTTATTCACATATTCAATCACGACTCTACAAATCAGTTCACCAATATGCTTACATTTGATAGCAATGTAATCAAACTTAGGTCGTTTACTGCAATCGAATTCTTTCCATATGAAATAATGTCAGCATACGTTACATCACATCCACCTCCATAGGTGGGCAACCAGACTGTGGATTCATTAATAACCTTGAAGGGAAGCGAGAGCTGAACGACTGTAGGTGTGTTAAAGAAAACACACGCAGTAGGAATTTCCTCTTTTGTGATTTATGAAAGGTTTTCAACGTCAGCAAAAATGCACAGCAGGTCGTCAAGAGAAAATAGCGAGAGAGAGAAGCATGTGATTGATTGTAAGTCAAACTGCACATGAAACAACCAGTCATATATATATGTATAGGAATGTGTAAAGCACAGTAAAAATATCCACTTTGTACTGTTTTACTTTTTCCGTTTGATAGGAAATAATGTTTTTATCTCGTCTTGTTTTTGTTTTAAGCCGGGATGATCAAAAAGGTAGTCGGTTTTAGCAAAGCCAGGAACAATTACATCAAAAGAAGTGGCAGTAATAGGCAGCAAAGGGGAAATGTAGCATGCAGAGAAAGAAAACAGCACAAGAAGAAGAACACGTAAACATCTCACCGCAACGTGATTTTTCACCGGGGTATGAAATCGTTTCCTAAATCTGCCAAATCAATCTCGCAGTCCCTAATTTAAATGATAGTTGCAAAAGAATTCAGTCGTAATTACTTTGTTTTTGCTGGAATGTTTGAGAAAGGAGGAGAAAAAAAAAACAAAACAGTGTGAGCAGGATTCCAAATGATTTTCTGATTGAGATGCCGCCGAAAAAAAAAAAAAAAAAAAAAAATCAGCGTCAGTCATCAGCTCAAGCATTTGTAATCTGCGCTGAAATTAGTTACGTGATTTAGACGCTGAATTGAATTAAATAGAAAAATACACGAAACATTTGAGGATGCGGTTCAACCCCACTGCGTGAAAAATTGAAGAATCAGGAAGAAATTAAGTGATTATGGAAGGCAGCGAATTTAGCCGTTCATCTGATTATATTATCGTCTTATCTCCCACACATCAGAGGCTCGTGTGTGTTGCTCGTGTGCAGGAGATGGAAGAGGCAGCGACATGAAACGGGTGCTGGGAACAAATTAAACCTAATTCGTGCGTTGCGGGGTCCAGTTTTTTACAGTGTGGATTTCTAAAGGCAGTGTGTGCAGGGAAGTGAAAGTACAGGTTCAGGATTCAAGGACACTTCAGCAGGGTGGACGCTGACCGACTGGGGTCTTCAGGGGGGGAGTCCAGTCAGTACACTCACCCCTCTCCGCATAAGAAAAGCCTTTTCCTGCATTGTTGCTATGTCATTTTACTTCCAGGTAGTGCGATTACTGTCGATTTGGCTCCGTTGGTTTGGCACTGAGCCCGACATCCGCTGATACAAAGCACAGTGACTGACCGCAGACTACAGCAGCGACTCAGGCTTTATAGCTCGTAACGTGTTTTGACCTTGATGCGTCCTTTGGTGCCCTTTGCTTTCTTTTATTTTAACAAATTAGCTGTCTGTGAGATTAAACTGCTGTTTGGTTTCTGTATCTACCTGCCAGTTTTTAGCTGGAAACTCCAGGAGTTGTTTGGGCCTCTGCTGGTTTGTAATGAGAATCATGACTCACTGTGGTAATGATACCATCACCACGCAGGCACATCAGCTTAATGACGAGGAAAATATACCTTTGGAATGGAAAAATAATCCGTCAACAGCCAGACAGCGGTTCTCCGTATGTTTCAGAGGTGATGCCGCGAAGAATAAACAACCAAGATAGTGTCAGAATACTGTCCAACATTGATTTGTTTAAATTAAAAAGGTACCACGGCAAACACCTAAAACAGCAGGAAAAGAACTTTGCTGTGACTAAAATCACGCTTATGTTTGATGTAAATATGGTTTCTGTTGCTTTTGCTAACCTGCTGAATCCTTTGAGCGAGTCGCCATGTCTGCTAGTGAGACGCTTTGCCAAGTTGGACATGTTGGCTCTTTTGGTTTGCGTAGGTTTGAAACATCCTTCTCAGACAGGCTTTGTGGTGTCTGTGGGCTCCCACTCGCTTGTGAAATCATTCCACATTTCGCCGTGTGCGTCTGCTTTGTTGACAACATGTTCACACATACCATCAGTGCGGCTCATTGGAATGGCTGCTTTCCCTTGAATACTAGTAGAACAAAAGTGGAGTACAGCTTTTCTATGGCGGGATATGGAGATATCTTTCAAGTATCGTGTACAATGTGCAAGACTGAAGTGAACAATGTGCATAGGGTAGTCTGAGCCATTTTAACACGTACAATGTAGATGAACTAGCATATATGATTTATTTATGTTGAGGTTTTTCTTCCCCTTTGTTTAATGCTAAATCCTAAAGCATCCATCCATCCATCCATCCATCATCTATACACCGCTTAATCCTCACTAGGGTCATGGGGGGCTGGAGTCTATCCCAGCTGACTCAGGGTGAAGGCAGGTTCACCTGGACAGGTCACCAGTCTATCACAGGGCTACACTTAGAGACAGACAACCAAGCACACTCACATTCACACCTACGGACAATTTAGAATCACCAATTAACCTCAACATGTTTTTGGACTGTGTGGGAGGAAGCCGGAGAACCCGGAGAGAACCCACGCTGCACGGGGAGAACATGGAGACAGGTGTCCTCACAGGGACGCGAACCGGTGACCTTCTCGCTGCGAGGCAACGATGCTAACCACTGCTCCACCTTGCAGCCCAATCCTAAAACAATGAGGGAAAAAAAAATTAGAAAATAATTAGAAGGAGCAAAGGCATTAAATAAGAAACATAATCACTCCTCTTGCAAAATAGAATAAATAGCATAACTGGATTTTGAACAACAGCATTCAAACACAACTGTGGCAACATAAAGAGGAGAAATGATCGTTTTTGTCAAACATTGCACCTTTTGTTTGCACATGACTGCATGACATCACACATTATTCCCCTTATTTACTCGGTCGCCCCTCGTCTAACGGTGCTGCTAAATGTAATAAACAGTACAAACAGATAGGGAATGACAGTGTTAAAGTTTTAATTAAACATTGCACATTAGTAAACACTTGTCCTCAACATTATCCTCCTAAATTACATTGAACTGGAGGATACCTTTGTCTAAAGCAACGTGCAAGTTTAGGCATTTTTGAATTGTTATATAAAGGTGATAAATGCAAAATAGAGTGGAGTAAAGTTGAGTGAAACTGGCATCGGTCGTGGTAAAAGGGACACAACTATGAGCATTACTGTAGCATTCATCAGCACCAAAGTCAGAGAATAACAGGAGTTTTTGTAGGGAATATATGTTGTAAATGGTATTTAAATTTGCCTTCATGTTTAAGTAGTCAAGTGAGGGGTGAGAAGCCAAACAAAGGGATGGAGCAGATCTCATAACATAATGAATGTCACCACTCATGGACCATATTTTTCCCTTTAAAACATCCACCAACTTTGCAAAACTGCTAAAAAAGCAGAACGCTTCTGAGTTTGCAGTAAAAGCAGAAAACACTGTTATTTTTTTTTCTGTACCTCACGACAGAAAATCAAAGAGAAAACAAAACACAAAAAAAAACTGCATTTGTGCGTATGTGTGGGCTTATATGTGAAGTCTGCGCCGGGGAAGCTAACTGTGGCGTACAGGATTTTGTTTACCAAATAGCACTCTGATTACCTCCTGAGGTTTTGCTCCTGTTGAGCGAGACAACTGTGCTCAGCAGCATCCTCCCCTCTCTTCCTGTGTAATGGCTTCATCATGCAGTCAATCATACAGCCTTCGTGTTGCTCGGCAAACACATCATAAAACTCGGTTTTGTTTTCCTGCCACATAATACCGAGCCTGTGTAAAGAATAATCCGTTATATTTTTGTAAAAAATGAGCTGTAAATCTTTTGTCCTTTTTTTGAAAGAAGATGTAGCTCCTGTTTTTTTTCTGCACTGATGTATAAAAGGTTCAGTTTTGGAGTTTATAATTTGTAATATTATATATTTTAAGTGGGTCATTTTGGGTATTTGAGGGTACATTACTGTTTTTAAGTATTAGACCTGAATGAAATCAACAATAAATGCTTGTTTGGTGATTACATTTAGAAGTTGCATTACATTTAATCACTTAATTTCTTCCTGATTCTTCAATTTTTCACGCAGTAGGGTTGAACCGCAAATGTTTCGTGTGTTTTTCCATTTAATTCAATTCAGCGTCTAAATCACGTAACTAATTTCAGCACAGATTACAAATGCTTGAGCTGATGACTGACACTGATTTTACACTGCATTCACCATATTTTCTAAAAACCATCGTATCTTTTGAAATTTCAGTCTTCTTCCCTCCAACATGGGCTCTTTTAATGCATTTTCACACACTGAAAACATGTCTTCATACTCCAGCTTTGTCTATACTCTTACTTGCAGTGAACATTAGCAGCTCACTGGTGTGCATAAATGCACAGCTCAGACTAATCGTGGTGAAGGTGTCAGCAGGGGTGCAGCTCCTCACCAGCACAGACTCTGTTGGCTGCAGAGAAGCCATCCAGCAGGTCACCGCTTGACTATAAACTGTCAGGAAATTATCTCTGCTGTGGGAGGTAAAGGCGCATACACATGTCTAAATTTCTTTTCACACATTCAGACCCATATTTAATTAATTGTAGCTTCCAGCCATTTGACAGTCACGCTGTGTGAGTGTATGTGCAGCTGGCCCGGTCACACTCCATTCACCACCCATCTGTCCATGTCAGACCGGACTCCTCTCCTCATATCCTCTCCCTCCCTTCCCTTCGCCTCCTTCCTCCTGCCTTTTTTCCTCCTCTTTCGCTCACCTCTGGTAGCGACCGCAGTACGATGTAGTGGAGCTGTTTAATTGGCCGGTCGGAGCATGCGTTTAACGACGATGTGGTTTAGAACAAGTCTGAGGCTGCACCGAGTTTCTGTTCACACGGGAAATAGAAGCGAACAGCAAAGTGAACCGTCAGACAGGGTGTGAAGGAAGACGGACGTGAAAAAAAACTGGATGCAGTCAGTCTTGGCTTTCAGTGACGGAGCCAGAAAATTGTTTGAAGGGGTGGCCGAGCTGACGCGGTGACTCACAGAAGCTGATATCTTGTTAATTTCTTTTGTTGTTGTTTCTGTGTGGCAACTCATCCACACATCCATAGGTAGGAGGAGAATGTCCATCCATCCATCTTCTATACAACACTTTGTCCTCTGCAGGGTTAAAAAATGGGTCAAATAGTCTTTTTTTTGGTTGCTTCAATTTAGAATTTGCTCATGGAGGCGACATTACAATTTAAAGTACATTAGAAGAACATAGGAAAGGCCTCCCAGGGGATTTATTTTCTAGATCACACTCCTATAAAACTTTCTTGTGGGGCAGACAGAAGTATTCTCCATTTTTGTGAAAGTGACACCATACTTTAAAACAACGGACCACGTCTGCCTTCACATGAATCCATTCATCAACACTTCAAAGATCTCCGTTTCTGGGACTCTGAGGGATGGTTTTGTCTGATATTTCTCTGTTTGTGCATGACTTCAAACTTTTTTTCTTCTGTATTTTGGGTTTGTCTTGAACACTTTTGCCTAAAGTTTCTCACCATGTCTGCTTTACGTGCTGTGAGCGCATTTGTAGCCCGATTATGTCAGGTTTGGTTAAAAAAGAAAACGTATTTTTCAATGTTTGGGTGCCGTGGAAATAAAGTTTATTACCATTATTCAACTTGAGTGTGGGATAAACAAGCCGCGGCAATTTGCATTTCAGTTAATCATCTTAACGGGCTCCTAAGTGTGTTTTGTGCTCGTCCCTGTTGTGTTGTGCTGCTCTTTACTGTATCAGTACAAAGTTAATTGGTTGCTCTTTCATGCAGACATGAGCATGAGTGGAGAGTTGAAGTCAAGCCGCTCTAGGGCAGCCAGTAAGAGGGCCAGCAACACCACTTATGGGTGAGTACGAATCCTCCTCCCCTCCAACACCAACACACACACTCTCTCTCCTTCACCCCACACACACTTGGAGACAATCATGTGCTCTATTATTTGCTGCAGCCCTTTATCTGTAGCTCAACGGTTGCACCTCCGATCAATGCGGCATTATTCGTTATTAGCTTCATACCAGCTGTGTATGTAAGCTGCCATTGATTTTAGCCAAAGGTGCTGTCTCCATCAGTCAATGTTTTAATCTATCTGTTGATGTACGGCGCACATACGACTGCTGGTGATTGCTGTTTATTGCTGCCATTCTAATGTGGAGATGCACTAGAGAGACGGGAGAACGGAGGGCAGTGGGAGAAAGAACTGCGTGTTTGAATTCATTCACGTCTTTATTACTCCAGCTCTCTCCTCGGACTGCATCTTTCGCCCCGGCAGCTCCTCTAACCACAGCAAGTTGTCCGTCTTTGTGAAGTTGGTGTTGATTCAGATTTCGTAGCTCTTATCCTCCCCTGACTTTGCATTTTCTCTCTAGAAATCCATGTATTGTCCTTCATACTGCAACTGCTCATTGAGTTCCACTTACACAGATATCATTAATACCGTGTTTGCCGTGAAACCGTAGAGACAGACGAGGCTTTTTGCTGAAATTGGATGGATGCTATAGTGAGAAGAGAGACAGTTACAGTAAAGCAGCTGGGATAAACAAGCAGAGATTTAAAATGCTTTGCAGGACATCCACTCTAGGATGGCGGAATTATAAATTGGTTAGGAATACAAACAAGAATCGAAAATGAATATTAACAGATGTAATAGTATTGAGGCCAACTTGTTTGTGCCGAGCTTAATCAGCAAATCTCATTATTATTCTGTCTTCTGTGCAACCGGGGCTCCACATATGTTTCCAGCTCCGCGCTGAATACTGATACTTTTCCGTCGGAGGCAGCTCTGCCGGTTCCGTCGTCTCGTGCAGTAGTACGTAGAAGTATTAGTACTGCAGTGTGGGACATTATGTCCTCGGCACGTCCTTCTAAACAACTAATCCAGCTCTCTGCCTGCGCTCCCTCCCACCGTCTCCCGCCTAAACCTTAAACCCCAAAACATTATTTATCCATTCCACCATGAAGTTATTCAGCAACGTGCAGCCATGCATTAATGAGGTTAGTCATACAACACACACACACACTCACACACACACACACAATGAGTAACCGCAAATGGAAAACACCTGAGGTATCAGCCCTGATATAGTCCGCCTGATATTTCACGGAGATGACACGCACTTAAAGCGGGCCAAGTTGGATTTGTGTGGCCACACATCCAGTTGGCTAAACTAAGCAGAGAACCTGTCCAGCCTGTTAACACGCCGAACAGAACAAGACAAATAGTCTACAGCCACACTGGCGGCTCTATGAGGCTGCAGGGCTCTGAGCTAAATGTTAACGTCAGATTTTTATAAGCTGATGTTGAACGCTGTCAGTCACCATCGGAGTTTAGCAAATTAGCAACTAACTAATGTTTTATAATTAGGGGGAAAAAAACAAGTGGATGTGTCATTAATTCAGCAGGTATTTGCTCATAAGCTAAAAAAAACAGATCGTTAAAATGTTGATCTGATGGTGGAATTAGATGTAAAGTCAAAGTTATGATGGGAACACGTTAGCCTGTAGCAAAATGTATAGAAACCCATTTGTTCTGGACCTCACAGTGGCAGCAGATTAAGAGTCAGAGGATCACGAAAGTAATTAGGATTCCTGCTCTAGACCCCATTACTGTCTCTGCAAAAATTTCATGACAATCCCTCCAGCAGCTGTAGAGACACACTGCCACCCATAAAGCTGTTCTGCCAGCACGGCTCACAATAGGTACATGATGTGAGACCGTAAAAAAAAAAAAAAGAATGAGTCGTCTTTAATGTTTATTGAAAGGAGGGATCTGCATTTTTTTTGCCTGCATACAATGTAGAGTTCTGCAGAAAATGAGAGACGATCGATCCAATCTACGAGAACCGAAAACCAACAATACAGCAGCAGCCACAAATGTAAATGATGGCGAGACGGCACCCAAAAATCTCTCTGTCCAGACTCCAATAATCCCGCTCTGTGCTTGCTGGCAGCACTGTGCCCTGTCTACTCCCTCCTCCCACTGTTCTCACAGAGCCGGCCAACAAACACTTCCGCCTGTGGCCTAGATTACTTTGCGAAACAAACTTTCATGTCTTAGATGCTAAAGCAGTGTAATCTGCTCATCCAACACCATGCAGGCGACCGGCAACTGTTATTGCTAGAAAGTTGGATTATTGAGTTCAAAATTAAATTTCCAAACCTCTATCTTTGGTTAAACCCAATGAAAGCTTGTCATTTTTTCTTAAAGCAGTCATTTCTTGTCGCATGATGGCAGGCCTTTTTTTTTTTTTTCCCCTCTCTTCCCACTGCCACTCTCTCATATGTTTCCCCCGCCGGGCCATTTGCTCCACAGCGACCCTGACAACATATGGGTGTTGTCATCATTTATCGTTCGCACTTCCTGACTGTCACAGGTCCCCTCCAGCTTGGCGAGCCCCAGCTGTGGAAGCAGGGACGGGGTGGAGCGAGCGGCGAGCAGCCCAGATGCTGCTGCTGCTGCTGCAGACGTGGCCTCTGTGTGCTCCAGTGCACTTCAACAAAAGCTCACTGTACTGTACCGTGTGGCCCTAATAGGGAGGCTCAGGTGCCACAGGAAGGGTCTCAGAGGTGTGTATGTATACAATTAACCCATGGTTTGGTTTTGAGAGACGTGGCCGACCAAGACAAAAGGCTTCTATGGTTATTTTCTCTTTTTGTTGCCTCTCAAAAGACGGAACAATACAGCAAAGCTCCACAATCCCATTTTTGTCTTGAGAGCCAAAAGATCAATTCATCAGCCCCATCTCTTTTTGCACAAACTTTTAAACCGCCCTCTGCAAACCTTTGTTGGCGGTTTATGCGGTCGTAGCGGTGTAAGTGCCCGGTCTGTTTCGAGGTTATTACGGCGCTCGTTTTTATTATCTGCTCCCATTTTGCATCTCGGCGGAGAGCGGAAGCAGAGAGGCGCAGAGGGAGGAGAGGGGACTGGCCCCGGCACCGAGTGGCAGAGTGTACCGAGCATCTGGTCTGGTATTTTCGTCTGCTTTCTCCATGTGCTTCATTCTTTTAATATTCTCTCATCTGTTTTAATTATCAGAGGGGCCAGTCATAGAGGAGCGTGAATGAGGATGGAAACGATTGCAGCAGGCCCATCTGTTATATAGGCTCAAAGAGGCTGTTGTTGGGAGGGGGGCGGCAGAGAGTGTTGGATGTGAACTCTGCACTTGCCAGGAGCGTTGGGTAATGATGTCCTGTATGTCCTACGTAATGCACAATAAGCTTAAAGGCTAATCTGATGGCAGGTTTTAGTCTTAACGGCTCTTTTTCTCGGTTGTTGCAAGTTGGTTGCTGATGATGGGGGAATATGGGACTATAGAATAAACAGGTTTAAATCAGCCAAAGTTGAACAAATCTAAACTGTCAGCGGCATCTGTCACAGTTTACACATCTTCTCCTATTTTGTGTTTAATTGTGCACAGTGAACATCTGCCTAAATGTCGTACCATCAGACTTTGTTTTAGTGACGCCACCATGTTCTCTAAGCTCAACTATGAAATGTCACTAGAATTTAAATGATGCCCAAATAGACGCAGAGGTTGTAAACCAGAATTACCTTTTAAGGACAGTTTGCAGGTAATAAACCTACAGTGTGCATCTTTTTTTAAAAAATCTTTCTCTATCTCATTTGCTTCCATGCAACCCTTGACACTTGTTTTGACAGATTGTATATGTGTATCCAGCCCGAGGCCTGGTTGGCTGACATCTGTAAATCTACCACAAGCGGCGGAAAAGCAAAGGGCAAATGGAGGCAATCTGCAGTAAAGAAAACAATGCTGAAGTTCACCCGTTTTTTATGAACGGCCCGTTTCTGCCGGATATACTCGTGTGACATCACTCTTGATCGCCATAACGCAGCTGACTGCCAGCTGTTACGATGCCCACCCAGAGCTTAATGTGTACACACAACATCGTGATCGTTTTTTAAAAAAAGAGACACCCATAAACAGTATTTTAAAAAGAGACGGGAACATATTGCGCGGGGTCACGGGGTGTTTATTTATGGTTATGTGATGAAATAACACGCTGGTGCTTGTATCAGATTAATACATGAATGTAAAATAGATGCAGAACCTGATTAAAAAACGCCCCCCCTACGCTCTTCCCAGTGTGGATTTCAGGTTAAGATGTGATTTGTGCACAGGTTGTCCCTGATTTATGCAGGAATCTAGTCTGAGCTCAAGGCTGGAAGTGTGTCACTCTGTGGGGAAGGGATGCAACAATCATCCTGCAGACAGTTTCCTTCAGGTGTTTGTGTTTGCTGGCTTTGCAAAAAAAGTCACGGTATCATGGAGTTGATATTTAATCGATTTCATATACATTCAGTAAATCAACTAACAAAGGAAAACAAGACAGAACAGAAGGAACCGCATGATGCAACGTGGCTCGGTTTGGGTTGTTCATTTACTGGAAAGCTCTGCGGAGTAGACTCCAGTTTACAGTGATGAATTTCCTCACCATTTAGTTTGCTCTCACAAATAGCACAGCCATTCTGCTTATGTCTGCACCTTGGTAAAAATGAAGTTAAATCAAGTGTGGAGAGAGTTCTTTGCCTGTGTGACTAATACATCAGTGTTTTCATTGTGAGCGGCGGTGTGGTGTTTTTTTTTTCTGCCAGACAATGAGGCCAGTCAGTTCTTATGACTAACTGTGCAGCAATCATGAAACAATTCCAGCTCCACGGTGTGTTTGTGTTCATGTTTAACATCGTGACTCATTCCCGGCTCTACAAGACGTTTGTATTTTTATTAATATGTATGTTATTGTGAATGAAAACGGGAAACGGCATTGATAGTCAACAGTGATCAAGAGCTGTTACCAACCGAAACGTGAAAATGTAGAAAAAAATTGAAA